GTCTGTCTGCTCACAGTCTCCCCCAGCTCATAGCTCACTGAACCTCTCTGCTCCCATATCTGGGGCGGGTTCCATTGGTTCATCTGGGACAGCTGGGACCCTTTCTCTTTTGGATGGAGCGGGTCTGGAGAGGTTGGTGCCCTCCTCCCTGGCTGGGCAGTCTCTTCCAGGCACTCCCATGCCACCCCCATCCTGGCTGTCGGAGCTCCTAGGTGGAGCTCTCTCTGCAGCTCCCACTGCCACTCCCACTCCCTCCCTGGCTCTGGCTTCAGCCCTGCCCCCTATCCCTGGGAAGGCAGTGGACAAAATATCCAAGGGGATATTTATTGAATTCAAGGAGCTATTGGCAGACCACGTGGCTGTGGCTTCCCAGTTGAGGGAGCTGGGGCCAGTCCAGGGAGCCACTGCCCGGTCCCGGATGAGGGACATCTCTGATCCCCTGTCGTGGGTCTACTGCTTTTTGTCATACGTAGCGGTCCTTGTCCCAGACCCTAGGCTTCGTGACTTGGTCGCGTATGGCCAAATAGTCATTCAGCTGGCTCGGTCACACGGGGGCTCTGGTTGGCTCAAGTATGACCGTCACTTTTGCCAGCAGGTCGCTGCTGGAGCCCTCCTGAGCTTGTCTGAAATCAACCCCTCACTGATGTCAGCCACTGTTCTCGGCTCTGGGCCTGCCAGCGGCTCTGGGAACTGTCCCCTCTGCCTGTCCTGGGACAACGATCGTGCCGACTGTGCACTGGCCTCCCTCGATCAGCAAAGCAAGCCTCCCGCTCGCTCCAAACCATACTCCCGGTCCCCCTTGGAAATTTGCCACAGATTCAATGCCGGTGTCTGTCCAAATTCATCTGATGGATGCCGCTTCATGCATGCTCCACCTGCTCTAAATCGGGGCATCCGGCGGCTGACTGTAAAGAGAGCAAAGGGAAGGCTAAAGCCAAGTCATCTCCCACCCCTCCTTAGCCCCTAGCTGGGACCAAGACTGAACACTCTTGTGTTTGTGCATTTATCCAATTGATTTTGTTGCCTCTGTCTATTCATTTCAAGTGGTTAATAAAATACACCTCTAATTTGTAGGTACCTCCCCGTGGCGCCTCAGCCACTACCCCCATACGGGCGATCTATTGGCCCTCGACTCGATGCGCCCTGACAGGGTCTCGAACAGTCGGGCTACTCACGGTTGCTTGCCCCCTGGGGCCTTGGGCCCGTACCTAGCCAGCCTTCCCAATATGTCCCTTGCTGAGTATTTCTCTCATGGGATCTCGTCTGGTTTCAGGGTGGGCTTTGACAGGTCAGAGCCTATCGGCCCGGCTCGAGGGAATTTCCCATCGGTCCAGCAGAACCCCCTTGTGGTTAGAGGATACCTAGCGGCCGAGCTCGATCAAGCCACAATTAGGCTTGCTGGCCCGGGCGAGTCCGTGCAGGTAAACCCCATCGGTCTGATTCCCAAGTCCGGCCAGCCGGGCAAGTTCAGACTTATCGACGATCTGTCTTCTCCCGAGGGAAGGAGCGTCAACGAAGGGATCGACCCCGTGCTCAGCTCCCTCTCTTACGCCTCAGTGGACCAGGCGGTCGCCTCTGTCTGCCTGGCCGGTCGTGGGGCTTGGATGGCGAAGCTCGACCTTCGCTCGGCTTATAGAAGGGTCCCGGTTCACCCCGATGACCAACCGCTGCTCGGCATGGCCTGGGACGATAGGATTTTTTGTGACAGGGCTCTCCCTTTCGGCCTCCGGTCCGCTCCAAAGGTGTTTACCGCTGTGGCCAACGCCCTAGCTTGGGCAATGCAATGTGAGGGGATAGGGGATCTTATCCACTATCTCGACGATTTCTTCTTTTGGTCACCGGCGACCTCGCGGGACTGCCACACTGCCTTGGAGATTGCTGTCCCACTGTGTAACAAACTCGGGTTTCCCGTGGCCCCCCACAAGGTGGTCGGCCCCGCGACTTCCCTGATCTTTCTTGGCACTGAAATCGATTCTCTCCGCCAGGAGATCAGGCTCCCTGAGGATAAGTTGTCCTTCCTTAAGCAGGCCCTCCGTCAGTGGGGTGATAAGCGGGCTGCCACCAAGAGGGAGGTCCAGTCGCTCATTGGCCACCTCAATCATGCTGCAAAGGTGGTGAGGCCCGGTCGCCCATTCCTGAGGGGTCTCATCGATACAATGAAAATTCAACGCCGTCAGCACCACCGAGTCCGCCTCTCGGTTGCCTGCCGTGGCGACATCGTGTGGTGGCAGCGCCTCCTGGAATGGCGTGTCTTTCTTTCGATCGGGTCCCATCCGAGCCCACCTGTTCTCAGACGCCTCTGGGCTCTGGGGTTGCGGGGCTTTTGTTGCTTCATCAGGGAAATGGTTTCACCTCTGCTGGCCACCGTCTTTGTCGGGAGTGTCAATTGCCCCCAAGGAACTAGTCCCGATCGTGGCTGCCCTGGCGGTTTGGGGTAACCGATGGTCTCAGGGCTCGGTCCTCTGCCACTGTGATAATGAGGCCGTTGTCCACACCATTGCTCGGGGCTCCGCGATAGACCCTCACCTGAACCACTTACTTCGCCTGCTTGCCATTCTGCAGGCTAAGCTAAATGTCTCGGTGGCAGTGGAACACGTGCCGTGTGTACTGAATGGGGCAGCAGACGCCCTTTCACGCGACAGATCCCCTAAGTTCTTTTGTCTCCTTCCCCAGGCTCCCAGGTTGCCAGTGTTCCTACCAGACAGTCTAACAGGACTCGTCTTAGAGCGACGGCCTGTCTGGACCTCGAGGAGCTGGATGGATCAGCTAGATCTCTGTTTGTTAGAGGATTGTCGGAGAACTCCCGCAATTCCTACTCAACGGGAAAGAGGAGCTACCTCACGTTCTGCTCGTAGGCCGGGATCACCCCGCTGCCACCAACCGAGTTGACTCTGTGCAGGTTTGTTGCCTACTTAGCTTCCGAGAGGCTTAGAGCCCAGTCCATCTTGGGCTACCTCTCAGCGATCCGGCATTTGTTTATTGAGGCTGGTCTGCCACCGCTGCCTAGAGAAGTCTGCCCGCGACTGCAGTATACTCTCCGAGGGGTCACGAGGTCCCAGATTGCCCAGCCTGCCCCTCAAAAACTCCCAATCACTCCTCGCATCTTGCTAGCCCTCAAGTCGGCCTGGGAGTCGGGGATAGTCGAGGTATCAATGGCTCGCCTGTTGTGGGCCTTATCTCTGACAGCCTTTTTTGGGTGTTTTCGAATAAGTGAGCTAACTGTCAAGGACTTATCCTCACCACCAGCAATCAGGGTCTCGGATGTGTCATTTGACCAGTCACCTGCGTGGGCCCTTCTTCTGCTTAGGTTCTCCAAGACAGACCCCGGGGGCACCGGCGTATCGGTAGTCATTGGGGCTACCGGCGGCCCCTTGTGCCCTGTCCAAGCTTTGGCTAACTATCTGACCGTACGTTCCCGAGCTCCCGGTCCTTTGTTTGTGCTGCACAATGGCCGGCCTATCTCTTGGGAGTGCTTTGTCGGGTATGTTCGGGCTGCCCTGGCTTCGTTGGGGGTCAACCCTGCCTGTTATACAGGCCACAGTTTTCGGATTGGGGCAGCCACAGCGGCAGCTCGTGCCTGAGTCCCCTCTCATCTCATTAAGACAATGGGCCACTGGGGCTCCGACGCCTACACGATTTACATGAGGACCCCGCCCGAGACTTTGGCAGCCCTGGCCGGTCAGATCTCCTGGTCGGTTCCCTGAGAAGACGGAGGACTGGTCTCCTTATGTTCACTCCACCTTTTGTGTGTTCTGACATTTGTCTAATTTCTCCCCACTGTTTTATTTTATGCACCCCCTTTTGTTTTCATTATGTTTTTGGCGGTGGCTGTTCGCTGCTGTTCTGAGTTTGGTGTTACCTGGTTGTCCCTGGCAAACCAGCTAGGGCCGGGGGTGCGTAGTCTCTCCCAATTACCCCACTCAACAACCATAGTCTCACACCTTGGGGCCTTGGGGGGCTTAAGTTCATGCCCTCCGGTCGGGCCTTTCCACTTCCCCGTGAATGTCCCATGTCATCTGGCCTTAGCTTCCCTCGCGGAGCCCAGGTCCTGATCGGGTCGTTTCCCCCCAGGGCTTCAGCCCCTTAGTCGGGAAAGCATTTAGCCCGAGAAACGCAAGGAGGTCCCTGTCTTCCCCACTTTACTCATTCGCCAGCTGATTGGCTCGGCAGGCCCAGCTTATCTGGCTGTTCACCGGGAAAACCGATCGGGTACACTCCTTTAGCTGCCTGTTCCGGGGGTTTTCTCGAGACCCCCATAACACGGGTTGGCTGAGGAGGACTGCATTCACGGGGCGCTACCGGCTCGGCTGGGGATGGGATTTAGGGCTCCTTCTTAGCAATGCAAGCTTCTCTTCGGAGCAGCATGCCTTTGGGTGGGGTCCTGCGAGGATGCCGTCAGGGTAGGGTGTCTTCTCCGAAGCTGATGGTGAGTTAATATATAGTTTGTACTAGAACTCTCTTCTTTAGAACTTTCTACTGTGTATGTACTCTATTCTAGAATATTCTCTATTGTGTTTAGGGAAGTGATTTTTGTAACATTTTGTCCGTCTGTTGTTTGTCTGTCTGTTGTTTGTCGGTCCGTTGTTTGTTGGTCTGTTGTTTGTCGGTCTGTTGTTTGTCTGTCTGTTGTTCGGTTGTCGATTGTTCAGTTGTTTTGATCATTTATTCAAGCTGTTTATCATTAAACTTATCAAGAATTCTATCAGGTTATGAGCCCAGCTGTTCTTTAAAATGGCGGAGTCAAAGTTTGTCACGATAGTTCCTCTGAATGGTTCTAATTATCCAACATGGAAGCTACAGTGTCAAATGACATGAATGAAAGAGAATCTGTGGGGAATAGTCAATGGAACGGAGAGAGCCAAGTATGGAGATGGTGCTGCTAAGTTTCAGACACAAAAGTATCGAGCGTTGGCCACAATAATCCTCTCGATTGATCCGTTGCTATTATATTTGGTTGGTGAACCTGATGATCCTGTAGAAGTTTGGAGATTGCTCTCAAATCGTTTTCAGAAGAAAACTTGGGCTCATTGTTTAGCATTGAGACACAAGATGCATTCACTCTGACTGGAGAAAGGACAATCTGTTCAGGAGCATATTAAGTCCATGACAGAAATGTTTAGTGAGCTGAGTGTGAGTGCAGACAATATTAGTTATGAAGACAGTGTAGTTTATATTTTAGCTAGTCTCCGGGAGTCTTTTGACATGCTTATCACTGCTTTTGAAGCAATCAGTGATGTACCAAACTTAGAAACAGTGATCAAGAAGCTCTGACATGAAGAGAGGAAACAGACCAAATGGAAGGCTGTGAATGAAACCTGACAGCAAAGCATAAAGCTAGGAGAGGTCCTAAATGTCATTACTGCAAAAGGTTTGGACATGTCCAACGTTTCTGCAATGAAATGGAGAAGGCTCTAACTCAAAGTGGAACCAGAAGTAGTACTGGTGTCAACAAATCTTAGAGTACTCGTGCAACATTTCATAAAGCTAATAGTGCTACAACCA